TCTGACCCACTATTTTTAAAAGTTAGGAACGTAATGTAAAACACTTTTATAACGAGGGACTAAATTGAGATTTTTCAATCAAAGTGGGGACTAAATTGGCTATTAAACCAAATTATAAAATAAAAACTCATTATAAAATAATTTTTTGTAAGAAATTGTTTGAAGTGTGTCAGTTGGGGCTAAGAAAGAGAAAATGTTGGAAGAGGAGATGAAAGAGAAAGGGTTGAGATAAATGAGAATGGTGAATAAGGGTTTGAATTTTTTTTAGTTTTGAGAATAAAAATTATTAAAATACTCATAATCTTAAAACTTAAAATCCATAATATATAAGGGTATTTTTGTCTACTAAAACCCGGTACATATCGCTAAAATATACTAAATGAAAAACACGTACACGCTAGCAAACCCATATATATATATATATATATTATATAATATAATATATATATATATATATATATATATATTCCATTAACTATCTTAAATTTGAATATTTTTGATATTATTTACTTGTTATTTTCAAGGTTTCAGATGATATTAGTTATTCTTTTTATTTTTATCTGTACCTTTATTCCTCGCCTATTTTTCTTTATTAACTTGTGGTTATGCATTTATATGGATGTAAAAGTGAAAATAGAAAAACAATTTTTTGATGAATATTTAATTTAAATTAATAAAATTTATTATATATTTTATTTTGTTAAAAAATTGTTAAACTGCACTTGAGAATAAACCGAGAGATTATATAACTAGTTATGTTAGTCGTGAAATGAATGCACGAATGCAATTTTAATAATCAAAATTAAAACGGCATTAGTAATTATATGAATGTTATGCATATTATATATGTATTATATTTATAAATGATTTCCCCCCTTCTCTCTCTGTATGTTTTTATTTATTAATAAGTAAAACTCACCTCGTTACTTATAAGAAGAGATAATTTTATTTTATTTTATGTATACTTGTGTTAAAAAATATTTTATGTGTATATTTTCATTAAGGTGTAAAAAAAATAATAAAGTATTTACTTATCTAAGATATATTAATTTTATGCGAAAATAATTCTCACAAAAATTGAATTGAGCTTTACTTTGATGTAATTAAATCTAAATTACTTGTTAAGATGAAAATTAAAATTTGGTTAAATACTTAGAATGATAATATGACAAAAAATCTGGTACTAAAATTATTAGAGTAACTATTTATAAATTCAAATAATTACAATAGAGTATAATTTCTTCTAAGTAGTTAAACTTTTAACGAGTTTCTTGTAATTTATCGATTAGGAAATAAGAAACATAATTTTTTATTATACAGAAAAGTTTTGTAAAAAGGTTCATCCCATATGTTAAGAATAGATTTCCAATTTGCTTCATAAAACAATTTTCAACCACATTAATTGATGCCCTTGTTTTATTTGAAAAATATTATTTTTTGTTATGTAATCAAATATATAATAATTAGGCAAAAATAAATAAATTTTTACCGGACAAAAAATAGTAGCTGAATGGAAAAAAAATGGAAAAAAAAATTATATTTTTCCCATCCAACAAATTTTTAAGTATTGCAATTCTTTCATGCGTCAAATAGCTAAAAATTCAAACAGGTCATAAAAAAAAGTTCAGGTTTCGTGTCAGTGCTTGTGCAGAGTCCAAATATTGTGCACAGGCTCAAGATGCTGATCTGCTCTCATTGGGCCACTATAAAGAAGATTAAAATATTATTCTGGTACCATAAATAGTTAGAATATAATTTTTTTTCTTTTAAAAAATATTTGTAAAAACTTTTTTGGTATTAATATATTTAAGAACTTGATAATTTTGCGTTACTTCCCTCCTATTACATATATCTATTGATAAATTGATTTGACAAGGTTGAACTGAATAAGTACTAGAGATTTTTACAGTATCATTAAAATTTGGGTGTAAAATCAAAAGTTCACTTAAAATAATTATTTTGTCGCTTATTTTTCAGTTATCATATTTTTGTTCAGATAATAAGTTGTCCAATCGAATGAATGTAATTGTTAAAAATATGTTTAAGTTAATTAGATTTTGATAAATCAAACATAAAAAAGTCTTAACAAAAATGCTTTTAACATGTATTTATAAATCTTTCTATAACCTTTTGATTATGATTAGCTTAATCATGATTCAATGACAAAAATATACTTTAAAAGTTTATTAACAAGATATAGTTATGATGCTTCTTATACATATAATCAATAATTAAATAATTTTTTATTTGTTATGAACTAAGTTCGACAAGTTTACCTTTCTTAAAGACCAAAATAATATTCACCCTTCTCTGTGTCTAAAAGGATAATGGTTGAAAATAGTTAGAGACTGTTTTTATACCATAGGATAAAATCGAGGTAAGTAAAAGTTGTTCCTTTAATATTGTGATATTCTTTTTTAATTCATATAAAGAAGTACAAACATAAAAAAAGGTTTAAATATATTCCCAGAATCATAGAGGGTGAAAGTATTAATGTCAGGACTGACAGGGCATGCGGTCAAAGAAGGAACACATGGTTCAGGGTTGTAAGATGTCATCTTTTCATCTAAAAAATTAGAAAAGAAAAAAATAGAAAAAAGAAAATGACTGGAAGATTAAAACTTTTGAAATCAGTCCAATCACACGGATAAATAAGATAAAATCAAATGAGAACAACATTTTTTCTCCAAACTGAATTTAATATAGTAAAGGAGAACAACTTTGACATTTCAACAACATTATATATTTTCCTTATATCTTTAACCATGTTACGGTTGAAAAAAAAAATACATTCTCTCTAATTTTGTCTAAAATAGGGATATAAAGACGTGTCCATACTCAAATTTCTCTCTTACCAAATTGCTTGAACAAGTAACCGTTTCCTTAGACCTAGTTCGTTTATGTAGAAAGTAGTGTTCACATGTATTGGTAAAGATTAAATTACGAGGTAAATTATGTTTGTTTTGTATGATTTAAAAGTCAGGCAAAGCGACAGTTTCAGAAATTATTCAAAGTTTCAATTTTTGCAGTTTACTCGGCTTTGAAGTGATTTAAGAAGAAATGTCGAATAAACTTTCGTACAATTATCATTTTTACCTAATATAAAAGTGGAAATAATAGATTACGGCAAGACAGAATATTCCAACATTCACATTAAAGCCTTATAATCGATTCTATCCAAAGGAGGAATCGATTTCAACTCATACCGCTTGGGATTTTGATTTGGATGTTCAAGGTGAAGAGATTGAAGATGAAGACGTTGAACATGGAAACTAAAAACGATCTGATTCTAGTGCAAGGTAACCGATTTTACTTGCAGTGTTGGAATTGATTTTAGAGCATATATCTTATTCCAGGCTACAACAATATACACCGTAATCAGTTCCACACAATAATTCAGGAGTAATTAATTCTAACTTCTTATATTTGATTTCAAGCTTCTTATATTCAGTTCCAAGAATAAATAGTGAGATTTTGAAATTTAGGAATCCTAAAATGAACATTTAAAAATTTGAAATAAGCAGCATTTTCAAAATCACATATTACATTACAAATTTCTGTGCCCTTTTCCTATTATTTTAATTCTTTTAACCAATACATTAATGAGTTTTAAATTTCTAAGTTAGCCGTAGTTTTCAAACAAAGTTAAAAGTTGAAAAAGAAAACAAGAATAGATATTTCATTTTTGTCTTGCATGTCTAAATTACCTTTCAAATTGGATAAAAAATATTTATACCTCTATCACATTACTCTCTCACTACAATGGATTAAATTGAAATTTAACTATACTACTTTTGTCAAACTTGTTAGAACTAAAATTCCAAATTGATAGATTTTCTGATACAAATTTATTTCATTTTTTAATTAATTTTATTTATTTTTTATCTAGTTTTAATATTTTTTAACAATAAATATATTATAATAAATATTATTTTACATTATTTTTACTACCAAAAATATTTTAATAATTTTAAATTTTTATTAATTAAAACTTTTTTCATCAATTATATTAATCAAATCCTATATAAACTTTTGTAAACTTTATTTTCAAATATACTTTCAATCATTTACTTTTAAATTCTTTAAACAAATTTACTCTAAAATCCCTAGTGTTTTTAACTTTTTAAAGAAACATGTGAACCTTTTCTAGCATTCACGACTTTAGATTCTGTTGTTAACAGCTAAAGTGGTGTCACTTTCAACACTTTTAAAAAAGTTTAAGAAATACAATTTGTTTTAATTTATTTTTAATATTCTAAAAACTAGAAGAAAACAATTTTAGTCTTCTAACTTTCAGAACATTAACGATAACAAAATTGAAATTTAAACGAGAATATGTTCATAGTATGTGTCAGAACAATGGAAAAGAGTGCTGTTTACCTTGACAAGTGTTGTCCTGTAATGGAATGCAAGCAGAGCAGTGAGGCACGATATCTGGCTTTGTCCCAACAAAGTTAACACAGCAAGTGCTGAATTTCGACTGAGATAGATTAGTGTAGAGCCTCATAGATCTTCCCCTGCATTTTGTTTATTTAATTTCCAGGAGACAATACTACCTTCTATAAAGCTTGCAGCTTTAGTTCTCCAATATTTTTACTTTTGTTGTTATGGTACTCCTAGTCATTGTTACATTGGTATGTCTTAGGCTGTTCTTCTTCGGTAGAGGTGTTTTAACCCCCAATATTAACATCATAAATTATTGAATTTCTGCACTAACCAAAATACTAAGAAGCATCACAATTAATTGCTCATCAAAAAAGAAGAAGAAAGGATTAAAGAATAATATAATCAAAGAAAGAGTAATATAAAAAAATGACATTAGTTACAACAAGTTGAGATTTTATTTTACTTATTACTTCCAACTTAAGAATTTAATGACCCGACCCGATAAAGAGTACCACTTCCTAAGCCAGGTCTCACCGCTTAGATCTAATATAAACAGTGAATTTTATTTATAATTTTTTTCACAATTCTATGATTTTTTCTTTACTCCAAATCCAATGGCAACCGTACGATCAAACTCGATCACGGTCTTCTTCGTCGTTTTCATTCTCTTCGCAACCGCACCATTTCCTTCTCAATCCATATCTTTCTCCTCTTACTTCCGTTACCGAGACCTCTTCTCCCTTTCGCATTCCCTTCTCATCGGCGTTGCCAACCTCCGGGCCTCGCGAGGCGACGTTGTTGGCGCCGACCGAGCTCGGGCCATCGCCAACAGCCTCGACCGTGGAACCGTCTTCGGCTTCGCCAAACTCCTCTGGACGTGGTCGTGGACGGACTTGTCCTTCACGGATATTTACGGCGTCGTTTCGGACATGAACGAGTTGCTGAGGGGCTTGACTGAGTTGACTCGTTTGGAATCGGTCGCGGAAAGGTCAGCTTGGATTTCGCGAAATTACCAGAGTGTCCTCACCGTCTCAAAGTCGCTTTCCAGCAAGCTCCTCAAAGCGTTTCGCCAGTCGGTACGTAAAACGCCTGTTTTTATATTTACATTTTTTAATAATTCTAAAAGTGAATTTGAAACAAAAATTAAATTATTTAAATAATACTTATATGACAATTGTTACTATATATATATATATATAAAATATGACTTATTCTTGATCTTATCCCCCATTTTATTTTAAATTAAATTTTTATATTAATTAGATAATAAATGCTCTTAATTTTTTGAAATTCTTATATTATTTACCATTTATCCTATATTTTTACTACATTTATTAATTTTTATACACTTTTCTCTTATTTTCCTTCAAATGTTATCATATTTTCCTTAATCCAAATAAGTAAACTTTAATTATTCTTTTATTCAAAAAAGAAAAAAGTAAAAGAATATATGATAGAATATTTTTTTAGAAACAAATAGTGACAATTTAATACATGCTTTTATTTCTGGTATGTATTTATGTTTCTCGTGTTCATTTCTACAATTGTTTACATTATATATGACTTTATTCACTTAGTTTTAGAAAACAGATAAAACAAATACGTATTTCCTAAAAAATAAAATTATACTTGCTTTTACTAAAGAAAAATATTCTTATAACAACTTTTTTTTGACAACTTATAGTATGTGATGAATCCGTTTTAAATATAAGTACCAATAAAATAATCACGATCCATCTTCAAAAAGTTGTTAAAAAAGACTGTTAAGTCGTTTACTAAAATACATGTATGTATTGAATCCATCCGTCCATGGGAATCTTCGACAGAAACTAATTTAGTTCTACAGTCATCACATTATCCATATATCTAATGTATCACTCATCACGAGAGTTATGTCTTATATGGAAAGACCTATGAAAATATCATAACTTTAAAATCTTGTCGTTTAATAATGAAGCATACATTTTGGTCCAGACTCTACATATAAGAGCACTGAGAGATTTCCTGGAACCTCTGATATAAATATCTCATTATCATAATCATTCTGCATTTGTGGACAAATGGCCATTAAGAGAGTTAATTCAGCAACTTACTTCTTACTTTTTCTCCACTTTCTCCTTCCCTTCGCCTCATGCAGCAACAGGAAGCAGGTCTTTCATTTTTCATCTCCTATCTTTCTCACTTTTTTTCTTTTACTCTCTCTGTCTTCTGCTTTTCCATGTCGATTATGTGAAACAGTCTTTCTCGCCTTCACACAGGTTTATGTAGTTGAGTTGTTCGGAGATCAAAGCAATAGTGATAAAACAGATGAAGTTGAGAATACCCATCATGCTTTTTTGCTTTCCGTTAAAGAAACTGAGGAGGAAGCACGAGCTTCCCTTCTTTATAATTACAAACACAGTATCAATGGTTTTGCAGCATTGCTTACTCCGAAAGAAGCCAATGAGCTCTCGGGTAAAACTATGATCATTCTTCAGTTTTGGTTTTAACTTTTTAAATACGTCTAACTTTGGAAAGAAAACATGGACAGAAATGGAGGGAGTGGTTTCTGTGCATAAGAACCAGCCAAGAATCTACTCTTTGCACACCACCAGATCATGGGAATTCGTGGGATTGGATAGACCTTTGAATCCATTGGAAGAAGACTCAAAACAGAAAAACAGAGACTTGCTAAGCAGAGCACAATATGGGAAAGATATCATAGTAGGAATGATTGATAGTGGTAATTTTATCACCATAATTATCTTCCTTATATGTCTATGGTATAATCTTGAAAATAATTAAATAAAAGATTGTTATTCGTACAACATTTTACCACAATATTTCTTTTCTTTGTATCTCTTATCATCGTATTTCGTATATATCTTATTTCGTATTTTCTTTCCTTTCTTTCTGTAGGTAACAGCATTACTCTAATTATGGGTGTGGCTGTTCTCATTTTACTCTATTTATCTAGATAATGTATTATGTAATTAAATAACTAATCTGTAGCATCAAACCAGTGAGCAGTGTTAATTAGTGTGTGCGTGTCTGCATGATATATGTTTATATATATAAATATATGTGTGTTGACTGTGGTTCTACTTGCAGGTGTGTGGCCAGATTCAAGTAGCTTCAGTGATGAAGGGATGGAGCCTGTTCCAACAAAATGGAAAGGAGAATGTCAAAATGGAACTGCTTTCGATTCATCACAGTGTAATAGGTGACATTGTTTTTCTTTATACCACACATGAACTTCTAAATTTTTTTTGTTAAATTAAGATGATATATACGTGTGCTAGTGTATATATATATATATATAGTTTGGGTAAGACATATATAATTCAAGGTTAAGTTATGTTTCAAAGGAAATAAGTATAATTAGTTTGATTTTATTGATTTTGTTGAAATATATATATAGTGATGGCAGTTCTAAAATAGAGTCTTTAAGTTTGTGATTTCTGAATAAGCTATTCAGTGTAGCTTTTTCATTACAGTTACATGTATTGAAAATTACAAGACAAAAGTTCTTCGGTGAACTTTGGAACCTTTGAATGGTTTTTCTTTATGAGTTAGTCAGCGTTAGTGGTTTCTTTCTTCATTTATTTAATCTTCTGAACACTAAGGAATGGCTTAAATATTACTAAAGCAAAAGTTCAGTTCACTATCCGTTGCTGCATAAATTATTATCATGTCATTGTCAAGGTGTATAAATATCTATATACATCTATTTAAAAGATAACGAAAAGAAAGTGTGCATGAGAAGGAAGAATATATATTTGAAATAATACTGTAAGATATTATACTTTTATATAAAATAAAGGGAAACATTTAACTGAAAGTAAAACATTATAGAACTATTCCTAGCAAATTGGACATGCGAAGAATTATATAATACCTATTATTCTTAGAGTACCTTTATCAGATTAATTCAGAAGCATGTAACTGACATGGAACATGGTTTTCTCTGTGTGGTCCTTTTCGTTTCCTATACATCATATATTTCATTAATTTTCTGGAAAAAAAATGATAACTTTGGCGGTAGGTGGGGTTAATTCTAAATAGAATATCTATTGAGCATGATTTCTAGCTTTTGTCCTTTTGACTTAATTGTTTTTGGCTTCTTTTTATTTTGCATCTCGTGAGTTTCTCTACATGTATATGTGTATGTGTATCTATCTCTTTCTTTTGTTTGCTTTGTTTGTTGGGTCAATGTCTTTTCTCTTGGCATCCATTCCCATAGTCTAATAGGAAGATGATCGAAGGAAAAGGAAAATGAAAATGTATAATTATTGAAGAGGTCTACACTGAAATGATCAGTTTATGCCAAAAGATCGAAACATGTGAACGAGAGAGAAAAAGAGTGGCATGTAAACTAGGGGACAACATTTTCATCTGTATGTATTGGGACGATAGACTGATGAAAATTTTGCAGTTCTGACAAGTCTTTGTTTGGTGTTACTCGTGATGTTTCTGAATCTGACTCCATTACTATGGGCTTTTTGAATCAGATATTTATACAATAAAATCATATAATAATTTCTATAAAACTTTTTTTTCCAACACATTACTTACATATATACAATGTCTCATTTCACTGACAAATTAGATAAATTTCATTTGGATAATCCATCAGATACAAAAAATTCATTGACCTATTTTATTCATACTAATTTATTTGATAACAGTTTAATTCATAACATTAAACTATGAAAAAAAATGTAATTAAAAACATTTTAAAAGTTGTTAAACAAATTTTAATTGAAAAACAAGTAACATATCAGTAATCATCTATAAAATTAAATGGCTGAACTTAATTTGATTTATTTTTTATATTTTGCAATTAATGAATTTAGCTAGCACTCCATGGTGAGAATAAATACATTTTATCTTTCTTATATTTGAATTATCTCTACATTATTTATATGTAATTGCGAATATATTTAATGTATTTAAATAGCTTAAATACATTTAATCATATTAAATGGTTGAAAACAATAGTATTAAAATAATTGAGTAGATAAAAAAAAATTTCTCCTATCTACATTAATTGAGTAGATAAAATACATTAAGTTTAAAGTTTTAAACTTAAAAGTCATTTTGGCTTCTTAGACTTTCTTTACTATAGATTACATTGTTCATCCCATTAGTTTATCATGCTAATTTCATCAATTTAGGAAATATATCTAGAAAAGTCACGTGAATGATAGATATTATTACTTTAGAAAATGACAGATGACAGTCTAACAGCAAAATTACTCTAGAATTAATCTCACAGAGTTACATTTTAAACACATAAGAAATATTAAACTTATAGGAAGTTTGCATATTTGGTGCAGGAAGATTATAGGAGCTCGTTACTACTTGCGTGGTTACGAGAGTGTATTTGGTCCTCTAAACGAAAAAGAGGACTACAGATCAGCACGTGACAAAGATGGTCATGGAACACACACAGCTTCAATAGTAGCAGGGCGTGCAGTGGCGAATGCCTCAGCCCTTGGAGGCTTTGCCAAGGGCACAGCCCTAGGTGGGGCCCCTTTGGCCCGTCTTGCCATATACAAAGCATGTTGGCCCATAAAGGGACAGTCCAAAGACCAAGGGAACATATGCACAAACATTGACATGCTCAAAGCTATAGATGATGCCATTGGTGATGGCGTTGATGTTCTAAGCATTTCCATTGGGTTCAAAGAACCCATTTCTTATGAGGAGGATGTGATTGCCAGGGGTGCATTGCATGCTGTGAGGAACAACATTGTTGTAGCGTGCAGTGCAGGTAACGCTGGCCCTTCACCTCAAACTTTGTCAAATCCTGCACCATGGATCATCACGGTTGGTGCCAGCACTGTAGATCGGTCTTTTCTTGCTCTTGTTAAACTCATCAATGGCACAGTCATTGAGGTAAGACGTTAAGTTTATCAAAGTGTGTTTGGTTGCATGACTATGTGAAGAAAAAATCAGTCTGGGGTATGCATATTTATAACTCTTACATCTGATTGTGATTTTGAAGTGGTTATGAAACAACCCTGCAACCTGCATGATTCATGAAAAACAAATAGACACATATAAGACTAAGACTTGTATAATACTATTAATAAGAAGATTTCCACAGTGAAAATTGAAATCCTATTGATTTATCTTGTTCAATTCTTGTAAAATTCAATGTCACAAAAATGTTAGTGAACATGGAGCTAGATAATGAACTTTTAATTGGTTGAATTACACTCTTCTTTTTTGTTGTATGTTAATATCAGGGTCGATCAATTACCCCAGTTCACATGGGAAAGAACTATTACCCATTGGTTCTAGCTAAAGATGTTGAACTTCCAGGCCTGCCTAGTAATAATTCTGGGTAGATTTTGAGCACTTTTGTTTTCCTCCTACATTTTTTATTCCGTGACTGATATAAAATTTAAAAGGCTTGTTTGATTAATCGTGCAGGTATTGCTTGGACAATAGCCTTGAACCTAACAGGACAATGGGGAAGATAGTTATCTGCCTCAGAGGGCAAGGTCAAAGGTTATATAAAGGCTTAGAAGTTCAAAGGGCAGGGGGGATTGGTCTTATCCTTGGGAACAATAAACTAAATGGAAATGATGTACCCTCTGATCCTCATTTTATTCCAGCCACTGGACTGTCCTATGATAATGTCTTAAAACTCATTCACTATGTCCGTTCTACCCCAAATCCAATGGCACAAATTCTGCCAGGAACAACAGTGTTAAAAACCACACCAGCACCCTACATGGCCTCTTTCTCTAGCAGGGGTCCAAATATAATTGACCCCAATATTCTCAAGGTACTAATTCCCTCATCATTTGATCGCTGTATCATCACTAAACATTACATTTGAAACCTTGTGTCGTGTCATCATGCAACTGATTTATCTCCTGTGCATATATTCAAAGTAACATCAAAATTCTTTAATCATTTTTTGCTTTCAGCCTGATATTACAGCCCCAGGAGTAGACATATTAGCAGCATGGACCGCGGAAGATGGTCCCACACGAATGACATTTAACGACAAACGAGTGGTTAAGTAC